CGGCAGAACGAAAGAAGGAAACTCCGCTTTTCAGTTGTCTCAGGCGATTGATTTTTGACAAACAATGACCTTTCAGAGGTCAAATTGTTGTCAAGAATATGAATTGGCTGCTTCGCAGCAAAAAAGTTCAAGATATAAATGATTTTATTTAATTTAACCAATGGACAATGTATAATATATTTACAATCAATGTTACATAACAATTAAGGTACGATAATGAATACAATGTAATCATTTCAATTATTATCTAAAGACAAAGCAACAAAGTGTTATATTATTTTAATTATCATCTAATGATGTAACAACATTACTGTCATATAACTATAAGTTAATCAATTACAACTTCATTCAAACCTATAATCATTGTTAGAATTGTTAAACCTTTATACTTTAGTTTTGTTCATACAGTAGCATACAACATATAAAGATGTACTTTAGTGGTGGTATGTAATCACACCTTAGTATGGCCTCACGGAAATCAAATAAGGGCTTTCTCATGCCCAAAACATCACCTTGACAAGCCAAAAAATTTAAGGGTCAAATAGCAAATCTTAATCATGGCCAATTTACTGGTGTTCCCCAGGGTTCTACGATTTTTTTGACAGCCATGTTAACCAATTTATCCAAGCCTGCACATGTTTTTAAAAATATCAAAACTTATTGAAACTTTACCCTGTGTACAAGGTAACCACCACTTGTTTCACTGTAGCTCAGTATAAAAAGATTATATCTTAAATGTTTAATGTTTTAATACATTTATGCGGTTAAATTTCGAAACCCCTAAATACAGAAAAGTAAAGAACAGATAAAAACCAAGGCCTGTAACCAGGGGGATTTTGGGGGATCGGCCAAAACCTTTTTTTGACCAGTTTACTATACACTGTAGTAATATTTTATCATATCAAAGAACACTTTTGAGTTAAACTTGGCCTATAGGAAACCTCTCCGTCTCATTTCCATGAACATCTTTAATATAAGAATTCTTAAACTGCAATGATAATAAATATCTTGAATACATAGTTATCATGATCATAAATAACATCATGGGAAAATTTTGTTGGCAGCATATAATAATCAAAACTATGATATTCAGCTGTTGTGAACAAACGACACAAATCATTACAACCTCTAAAGTTATTTCCTGCAGTCGGCCTACGGAATTCATGTCAAACGCGTCGCTTGGAAAGGAAGCATCTTATCTGCTGCCTCTCACATCACGGTTTGACGACTGTCAATATGTTATTCCGTTTGCGTAAATGCACAGTCATAAGTGATCGAGAGTGCTATTTTCTGGAGGGAATTTTGGCGACTGCCTTGAAGCAATAGAATCAAACATATATGGGACGTGTGTCGTCTGTTTTTTTTAAAATGTCGTCAAACAAAAATTAACTGGTGCTGAAAAGGATTTTGAAAAAGCTGCGACTACACTTAATTTTGACAAATTGGTTTTGAAAATTAGACTGTGGATTATTTTTGTTTCTTTATAGAAGGAAACACAGAATAGGGCTATTGTCACAAAGAGATATGAGTTAAAAATGGGGACAAAATTGAGGAAACAGAATAACACATTTTTAATATTAACCAACCTCATTAAACTGAATTCTCAATCTTGCATTTGACAATTCAGGTGCACCTCAAACCATAATTCTCTATTATTTCCCTCTCCCTCTTAAATTAAGTTGACAATTACAAATCTAGTATTTACAGAAGGAAACCCAAAGATAGGGTTATTGTCACAATGAGATATGGGTTAAAAATGGGGGAAAAATTGAGGAAACAGAAAAACACATTTCTAATTAATCACAACATAGTTTTTCTAATACTGGCATATTAGCCTCATTAAACTTCATTCTCAGAATTGTACCACAAACCACAATCCTTTATTCCTTGCCTCTCCCTCTTAAATTAAGTTGACAAATAAAGGTCCGTCTTTACATTTCAATTAAAGGTAGATAAGAAATGTAGCATAATTGAAAGGGATCTATAGAGATACATCTAAATAATGATATGCAAGGTCTCACCATTAAATGAAATGGATCGTTGGTGAAATCATATTGAGATATTCACCAAAATACAAAGTCAAAATTTTTACAAAATGTTGATTTAATGTTTTTGAATAACTTGATACTCTACATATACTTTAGTGAATTTTCTTACTAAAACAGTGTTCTCTGCTAATATTCTGTAAATCTAGTCCTATTATTTATAAAGGTTAGTTTATCTTTGGGACCGACTTTCTCAAAACATGGTTCTCATACACCTAAAGTTTAAATGCTCACGTCTCTTTATATACTTATCGTTGGGAAGCCATTCAAAAACCAAATTAGCTTATAATGTATAATAATCTACCCAAGTACAATATAAACTCAATTTTTCTCACCATGACAAGGGGGGGGGGGCACCTCTACCAGACAGGGAGGCCCTGCCCCCCCCCACCCCTGTATCACATACACATATTTTGCGCAGATTTGCTATAGGAAATCCACGCACATGCACGCACAGAAATATTACGATGCAGTGCAGCTCGATATATTCTAAGCTTTATGATCTATACATCATTATTCATTTATGTTCCATCAGACAATATATGTGTAATACATAACTTGGATTCCTCTTGAGTTGTTGAGGCGTGGTAGGAAAACTTCAATTTGTATTCTTTAGTTTAACTGTAAAATAATTGAACTTTTTCCTGACTTCCAAACACGTTGACGCACATCAACAGCCATTTATGGAAACATCATTTAATAAACACGAAAATACATGATTATAATTAGAATTTAGAGAGCAAAGGTGAAGGAGATATTTATTAATCCACGGCCATTTGAAATTTAATTTATATGCATAAATATGATTCACGTTTAATACGCAACATCATTTTTTACGAAGAAATTGTGTGCACACCCAGCCTCATGGGACTTCTATAATTGATATGTGTCTGCGAGTGTCATCCTACTAATATATAGTAAAAGATATTAGTATATATAAGATAAAGTATATTTAATCTATATTGTCTATTATTAGAATAGGGATGATGGGATACTGATTTTGATGATAATAAGATGATGCGGTGGCATATGAAATACATCTTTTTGAATTCCTTGAATCTCTTAATTCTTGTATTGCTACTATTATATCAGCTAAAACTAAAACTTGAGTTATACATTTATTATTTATAATGATAGTTAACCTCCATCTGTACCTGAAAACTATATTTCTAACTCAAAAAACGGGAAAAGTGAAAATAAATAGAGCTGATGATGATAATGATGATGATATGGCCAATATTTTTCTTTCTTTTTATATTTTTTTCTTTTATATAGAATGATATTTTAATTTCTATTTAATATGTTTATTTTGTGAATCTAAATGTGTTGCTCTTTAGCATAAAAAAACATTTAAAATTTTACTGAAAAGGTAATTAAGATACATAAATTAAGTTGGCAATGACAGAAAATTAAATGATAATTATAATGAAAATAATAAGAGCAACAGCAATAATAACAACATTAGGCTTTTTAATAGCTAAGTATAGAAGTTAAGTTAGGTCTATTTAAGTTAAAATACGTGCTAGTATCTGGAGGTTGTGGGTTCAATTCTCACCCGAATTACTTGCAGATTTTTATTTTATTTTAGTACAATAACACAACAGGTACGGCAAAATATCACTCCTATGATATTATTCTGATGCAAACACATATTTTATATTTTAATATTAGAAAATTAAAAAAATAATACAATTAAAATTTATGCATATAATTAATAAATATGGATCTGAATAGATTTTGAATGTATCCAGATAGGCATTTTGAAGCTGCTACTGTATTGACTGAAAACATACAATTTCAGCTGCTATCCTACAAATCACTGAAACAATATAAATTTATTTTGACAAGATTGATTTAATAAGCTAACGGCAAGGAGACAACCAACTGGATGACTCAAACACCATGTTTAAAAAAAAAACTTAAAAAAACAACTGGACTCTACATATCATTAGTCATTACCCCCCTCCTATAAATCTGCATGTGTTGAGATGAGATAGGGTTTATAATAGGGTGTGGACTTGATGTGCCACATGACAAGGGGCTGACGTTGTGCAGTCCATGTGCAAAATGTTAAAAAAATA